ATGACATCAGGAGCAGAGACGAACGCGTGGCCGGTAGCTGATCCATCTGAGATTAACAGGACATTTTTTACGTCTTTTGACCGGCAGATCAGCGGGGGCGCGTGGCCGGTGATCAGCTGATCCATCTGAAGCTTAACAGGACAATTTTTACGTCTTTTGACCGGCAGATCAGCGAACGCGCGCGGCCAGTGATCAGCTGATCCATCTGAAGCTTAACAGGACTTTTTTTTTTACCTCAACCGGCCGATCGGACCTGCCTCCTCCTCAACAAGTAGATTAACACAATTTTATATTGTGCATTATTATTTATTTTATTTGTGCTGTGATTCATAAAACCACATCAAAGAAGTCCGAGCCGACAGTGCTGGTGTATTGTTGTAACCTGTCATGAGCGCCACCAATAAAGCATGGCAAGCCGCATGTGGCTCGGGAGCCGCGCATTCAGTATCCCTGGCCTACACTGTAACACCAGTCAAAAGAACTACACTACCCAGAAGCCAACATTGCTTCTGGCTGCTGCTTTCCACCGAAACGTAGGGAAAGTTTTGCAACGCAAATAGACACTATATGAAGCTCACAGAACTGACAGGAATAATCATGAAGCTCAATAATCCACGCGCACATCAACCTGGAAGGGGCGGTGGGCTTCGTTGCTGCAGGGTAGATCTGCAGAACCAGAACAGGGCTGCTGGTCTGCAGAGCAGGTGAGTAAAAGTTTAGAGTATCGGGCAGTACATATACATAAGTGGGAAGGGTTTATAACACCTTAAAAATGTATAAATACTAAATAAATATAGTGTTCCTACTTTGAGGTTTATTGCGGTGGTGTATGCAACGTAACCCCCGCGATAATCGAGGGACTACTGTACAGCCAATATTTACTTTCTGAAAGTTTCATAGAAAGCCATCTAGATGTCAATGGGTAATTTTACTCACAAAGTTGACTCCAACATGTGTTGCATTCAAAGTATGTGTTTGAGACGATGCTCAGCTACCAGTACTACCACAAGTTTATGTAAAACTCTAAAAATCTAAAGTTTTAGTATCGTTTTAAAAGTCAACTTTTTCATGGTTTATAGTTACTTTCAATAAGCTGTGTAGTAGAGTTGTCTGTACAGCTATCCAGGAGTCTTTGGGTAAAAAAAAAAAAAAAGACCCTCAACATGACCATAATAGATTAGCCAGGGTTTCCATCGTGCTCACTTTATCAATATTCTTCTTATGGAAGCAAACCCATTTACAGGGGGCAGTAGTCCTGAGTACTGGCTCATCAATCCCGCTGATAACCCTGGCAGGATTAAGTCTACAGAGCACTGTAATCAACTAACAGGCTCATTATGGGACATTATGCTATAGATCCAAAGATCGATGCATTCCTCCCATCTACAAACATGGCCACATAAAGTTTTAAAACACAATTCTAGCTATGCTCAATGACAAATTGATTGGAAATATGAGCTCAGCACTTTTTATCCCCCCACCCCACCCCCAAGTGAGCTTTTATAGTGATCATTTTGCATAGTAATTACGCCTGCGTAACATTCATCATTTGCTCTGATACATATCTGCAGCTGGCAAATTGCAATCAGATACAGTAGGTATCTAATCTGTGATCTCAAATCAAATTAGGTCTATTTAGACAACCTTGGGAATGTGATGATGAAATCCTGTCAGAAATTAGAGACTGGAAATTTAATTGAGACAGTGGATATTATTGAGATATGTGGATAAAGGCGTGAGTGGCTTTTTGCGGTCGATAAACAAATTGACCTGAATATAAAAGGAAAAATAAATAACACCGTTTATAGCCTAATGAAAATGATTGGTATAAAGGTACTCATTGCAATATCATGAAGACCGGTTGCATATGTGTATATATACCATAATTTTCGCTGTATAAGTCGCACGTTTTTGCATAAATTAGCATGCTTGCAACTTATACACCAACGCGACTAATGTATGTTTCCCCCCCATATTTAAAACCCAATTTTTGGCTGAGATCTGACGATTTCATTCATTCTGACATGGAAAACATTGAGCACTACCATTTTCAGCCACTAGAGGGCTCGCGACTAATATGGCAAGCCAAGTGTCACATTAATAGGTAAAAGTGGCTATTAATGAGACACTTGGCTTGCCATAAAAGCCACCTTCGTCTCACTCTGGAACTCCTGGAGCAAACGTCAAACCAGCTGCATTTCGCCGCATCGCCCAGGCGAATTTGACCATTAAAGTGCATTTATTAAGGAAAAGTTCAACTGAGACAACCTTTGGTATAACTTTAAGCAAACAATTGTTTTTAAGCGTTAATCTTCTTTAAATCTTGTTAAAGTCCTCCCGTACGCGCTCCCGCTGCCGCCATTTGTCAGTCAATCAATTTTTGGCACACCGGCCCACGTTTCCGGATTGTCAGCGGTGATGCGTAACAAATGCAATGCGTCAGCGGGGATGCATAATAGGTGCAACTTTAATGGCAAAGCAACTTGTTTATGTTTTTTTCCACTTTATTAGACATATTTGGACCGATGAGACTTTTACGGCAATGAGACGTGTACAAGTACGGTACATATATGTCTGACAACTGACAATTATTTGTTTACCAATAATAAAGACCAAATTGACAGAAAATAGGTGAACAATGGCAATTTGAGTGCATTCTGCATTTAATTATTTTTGGAAAAATTACTTATATATTTCAGAATACCCTTTTTAATGTTTCATTTTATAGTTTGCATTTAGTACCTTTAGGAAACATCTCAACTTTAAATATTTGAATATTTAAAATATTGTGTAGCTTGTCTCAGAAGCCTTCGGCCGAGTCTAAGGTGACGAGACCTTAAGATGCTGCTTTTCTAATTATAGCTGTAGGAGGTATTTTGGAGCTGCTAGGTAATGGCAGAACCCATAGAGACGGTGGAGAATTCATCAGTGCTTATTATTAATCATCCCCCAGCAGCATGATGAGAGACTGGAGCTTCTATACCCACTGGACCAGTCAATGTCATTCCAAATATGGGTGGAAAATTAAACCCAACAGCCTTACGTGGAAATGGACTCGCAGCAAATAAGAACAGGATTTTTTTTAAAATGCAAGCACATATGAAGACGCAACGTCCACGCTTGCAAAGTAAACACAACTGTCAACATCACAGCTGCTTTGTTCTGGCGGGCACATCTGTTAAACAACACTCTCTTTAGTCTCAGAAATAATCACTCCTGCTTGAAATATGATTTCTCTCTGAAGACGAGCGGAGTAAAACTCAGGAGGGGAAGTGTGTGTGAATTTAGCAGCGCAGGGCCCCCTGCTTTAAAAAGCCTCCAGAGACCTGTTAGCTGGACTGCTCATTTCAATGCGTCTGTCTCGGGGTTGGGAGAAGGCTGGCCCCTTTACGAGGCGCACACGGTCATCCGCCCGGACAACCCCACCCACTAGACACAACTCTCAGCCATACTGAGTTTTACCCAGACTTTTTATGATTACGTCACTTTTTATTATTATTCTTTTAAGTTGTGTGGTATTTTAAAAGGAATAATTTGTCTTATTAAGGGTCTAATGTTTGTGGTGCACCTTTCCCACTCATTTTAAAACAAAGTTAGACATCTAATTTAAGAGAAAATGTTCCAACACTCTGAATTGGTCTTTTATCGTTTTGGCTATTTCAGGTGACGTGAAGATATTTCATTTTCTCTCACACACGTGTGCATCATCTGAAGTAAATTACACTGAAGCTTTATGTTATACTGTAAGGAGAAAAAATACAAACAGCTCTCCTAAGTAAAGCTCTACAAACATCTACTAAAATCTTGTTTTATCTCGTTCCATCTCATTCTAGATCAGTTGAGGGCATTGCCACCTACAGAAAGCAGTTCTTCACACACCTTCAAATGTAAAAAGAGAGTGCAAAAGAAGTGACCCCCCCCTCCTAATCAGCTGTGGGTGGAAGAGTGGAGACAGATGTGGCTGAGATGAAGCCACCAGAAGGACTGATGCAGTTCTGCTGTGGATGGATGACAAGTGTGAGGATGAGCAGAGGAGGCTCCAGGACCTTTATTTTGCTACACTGGGCACACACACACACACACATGCACACACATGTACTCATTGACATCTATTGTACTGCCCTGACTGATCTGACCACAGGGGTTCAGCTGCCTCGAAAAAAAAAAAAAAAAATTACACACACACACAAATCTACGCTTCCATGAAAAATTTCACCAGGCAAAAAGGACACCATTACAAACCTGCGGCATTGTCCCCCCCTCCCAATCCACCCAGAAGCATGGTCCTCTGACCTAATCTCCCATTGCTCTTTTGGCGATCTGTCAAAGCCATCATTCACCATGAAAAGACACGGGAGACACTTGACTCCTTTACTCTGCTGGCGACTGACTTTCACAACTCCTGCCCCCCAACCACCCCCTCTCACACCACCCCTGCAGGTCATTCACCCCACAAATGCACAAAACATCAAGTAGTTATCAGTGGAGAGCAACTTGATCAATTTAAAAGTAACAAAGTGACAAATAAACGTTTTTTTTTTTTTTAAGGATCTTAACGAGAATCAGTTTTTCCAAAGTGCCTCATCAGAGATTTCTCTCTGAGACAAACTAGTGGTGAGTTAGGAGGCCCTCTGCTGGAAACACAGCTGCCATAACACACACATTGACCAGACTGGACCATACATTTCCACACATTCTTTCCTCTTTTTCTTCCTCTCCGTCTGCCACACACACCGTCACACTCACATGCACACACGTGGCCTCACACTGCTGCAGAAACTTCTACATATGCAGTAGGTGATAAACATAAACAACCAGCAGATCTGCAGGAAACACCTACAACAGCTTCAACTGACGGGAAAGTTTACCAACAGCCTATTAGGTAAACAGAGGCGTAAAAAAAAAATAAAATGCATACACACACCGACACACGAACAAAACAATTCATTTTGCTTCCTGCCTACATAGAACGCCTGAGCGCCGCCTGAGCTGAGAGCACAGCAGAGCAGAGAGAGCGAGAGAGAGCGGCAGAGACGAGACGGGGGGAGAAACACAACTTACCTGCTGTTGTTGCAGATGCAGCAGCTCGACTGTGCTTACTTCGCTGCTTGTGTCACCAGCGCTTGATCTCCCATCTCTACTGCCAGCCTCTAATTGGCTGCTGCTTAGGGTGCTCATTCCATTTTGACTCATTGAACTGTTGCTTATTGTCTCTGTGGCCGACTCCTGCATCATCATGATTTAAAACCTAGAAGTGATTAAGAGGCACCGGTTAGGGCTCTTCTCGTTACAGTTCCCCCCGTTTTCCCTCCTGTTTTCTTCTCTTTGCACGCTTCCATTATCAAGCCCTTGGTCCCCCTTTGCAAATTAAAGCATTTTAAAGAAGAGGGAGGGGGGGAAGGGATGCAGGAGGAGCAATTATGCATTCATTGTGTAAATGAAGCAATACAAAGAGATGCGTGGTCCTTTTTTTTAAATAACTAAATGGGTTTGTACATATGGAAATAGAAATAAATCAAACGGATTTGCATTTCAAACTATTACTAAAATCTTAATATGATTAGAACGAATATGTGGCTCAAGAATAAGCATCTGCTCCATTCATTAGATCTTTATTGCATCACTAACAAAAACATAAATAAATAAAAAGAGAGAGAAGCACTCCTAAAATGTCCATTTTCAAGATGTCTGCCTCTGAAGAAGTTGCCTAATGACGCAAAACTAATCATGCAAAATTAAAAATTTGGTGTTGGGAAGAGGAAGCACCGAATCACATGGTGCAGGGTTGGAGTTAGTCATTCTTGTTCTGGCTTAAAAAAAAAAACTGCTTTGCAGGCCTCCAGAGCAAAAGAACACTCATATTTCATTTATTAGCATTTTAATTTTTTTTAGGTTTGCCTTTTTGCTTCTTAAATCAAACCTAATATACCCTAAATGTTTGGTTTATGTCTTGTTTTGCTCTCAGTTGGATGCAATTAGGTAAAACGTTTAGTTGTAATCAAAGTTTCAGGCAGTGAAATTTACATTAAAGAAAATCAAGTAAAATGTTTAATTTTCTATTTCTAAATACAAAATTAAGAAAAACGAACAGGGATATAATATATATATATATATATTGAATTTTACTAATGATTGTGCTAAAACGGCATAAATTATGCATAAAAGCTCCTGTCTTTCCAGTAATAAATGTTTTATCATTATCCCCAACATTTAACGCTCTCTACCTTCACCGGGGCAGAGAGGAGCTCCTCCAGCATCAGTCGACTTTCTCCCAATAAATAAAAGACTCAGAAGACTGCAGCTCAGACAGAAATCCACAATTACGGATTCAACACTCGCTCTATTTGGAGAATATTTTTACTATTTAAAAAAAAAAAACTGAGATAAATAATAAATTCAACACAGCAGAACTTATGAAGTGTTTTCCCTAAAATATAAAAAATGCTAATCGTGCCTCCGCAGCCGTTTTTGCCATTTTCACCTTTTTTTCTCATTACAGCCTGTTTTCCAATCTGCCAGTGCAAACCAACACTCAGAACAACAGCAGGGGGGATGAATGATGATTGTATGTGTTTTTGTGTGCGTTTGCGTCCAGCCAACACGGGTAACCGTGTGTATTCTTTGGCCTGCAAATACAGTTTTAATAGAAGTGTGTACACGTCCGCAGCGGCGTTTGTGTGTTTGACGAGGGGCAGATACGGGACAGGCCTTAAAGGATGTCCACGGCCAGGATAAACAGGATCTGAGGAGGGAGAACAAACAGGGCTGAGCTATTACACAGAGCAGGGCGACAGCTGCCCGGGACACAAGTAAACAGGGAAGAGGCCAGAACAAGGCGTGCTTGTGAACAAACAGGCCCCCTGTTTAACACCGAGACGCTTTCTACTGATGGAGGGAGACACGGTGAGAGAAGACAGGGGGACAGGAAGACAGGAGAAAGGAAACAGAGGGCGGGGGGAAAGAAAATAAAGGGAGGGACGGGAGGAGAGACTGGCACAATGTGTCATCCAATCCGGTGATGAATCTCAGCAGAAGAAACTCAAGGCTGCAGCCGAGATCAGCCGGCTAATAAGTATTCAAATTAGGCATAAATTTTACATGCCCGATGTTTAAAATATTCAGAGAAAGACTGTCTGATTGCCTTTACTACGATTTTATGAACATTCTAATGGAGTTCTCCTTTTTCTTGGACCGGTGAGGGATGTTCGGAAAACTTGGAAGATAGACGAGATGAAGAAATATATATATATTCTTTTATTATTAACAGCTGAATTGTGGCAAAACCGCCATCAAAATTCAGGGAAAATTACTTCTACGTTATATTTTATGTGCTTACACTCGACGTCTAAAATTTATAAAGAATATCAACAAAATTATGCAATCGTGGAAAATGATTTGCATTAATTATTTAAAAATCCAGTTAATTTCAACACTATAATCTCAAAAAAAAAAATAAATCTGTGCAGCATGGCTCGCTGCGACGTCGTGATAATGCAGATATATGCAAAGCATATTCGCAGAGATCAGATGGTGCTTTAACCTTAATGACAGCGGTGAGATAAATTAATTAGCCGTCTAAAGGCGGCATTCAAATCTGCCAATTAGAATGTCAATTAGAAACGCAGCCGGGCTGCGGTGATGAGCGGGCGACCAAGCTGCGGCGCCGACTGTGGGGGTGATGGAACTGTCACAGCCAGGGAGGCGCACGCTCACGCAATACTCCAGAGAAAGAGAGGGAGTCGGAGAGTGACAGTGCTCAACACCTGAGGGTGTGACTGTGTCTACATTTGCCACAGATCCGCCCGTCTCCCTGAGGAGTACCAGCCCTGACCCCAGCTCGGCCAACTGGGTCGGAAAGAGTCACCAACAGCTACGATATCTGTTGGCCAGAGCTGAAGCTGCCAGCTTGGTGCGCTTCACATCCAGAAATCGTCGTCGTCCTGCATTTCAGCACTCAGCTTTTTGATGCCATTTCCTCAAGCCATAATCTTCCAATGAGGGCGAACCCAGACCACTTATTATCACCATCGGAAGCAGAGAGGAAGCCTGTTATTACCTGGTAATACGCTGCTGACGCTGTAGATGTATCGCTCAGGGAGGGACGATGATAGTGATGCAGAGCGTTTAGGACGTGTGGTGGTGTTGCGAACAGGAAGATGGTTAATCATCGACAGCTTCAGTGTTTCTTTTAAGGCATGTGTGTCAAACTCAAGGCCAAGGGGCCAAATGAGGCCCTTTTGGGCATCTTATCTGGCCCCCAAGACGATATTGTAAATTTAAAATACTTTTATCACTATACATTTTTCAGTAATCTTTGATTATGATGTCAAAAGAGGAGCATAGAACGTCAAAGGAGACCAATCAAACTCTTGTTGAGGAACCTGCAACCAAGAAAAGACGTTTGGTATCTAACTTGAGTTGATGTAGATTCTGAAACCGGCCCCTAGTTTGAAAAAGGTTTTAATTTTGGCCCCCTTTTGTAAGTGGGTTTGACACTCGTGTTTGAAGGGTTCAATAAAAAGCAAAGGCATTTCCACATGGAGCAAAGAAAGGCTGATAGTTTATTTGGAAAGCTTTAAAACAAAAGCAGCTACTTGCTATTCCTCTTCAGCTTGTGCAAATATTTACCATAATTTCCAGCGTATAAGACGCCCCGGAGTACAAGTCGTATCAGTCAAAAAAGCATCATGACGAGGAAAGAAACGTACAAGTGTATAAGTCGCATTTATTATGCGTCACCGCTGACCCGTCGTGTTTAGTATGCAATTTATTTAATGCAAACCGCTTCATTTCTCCTGAGTGACGCGGCATCATCCACACATCCATCGTGATTGGAGTCGCTAGCTCTCCAGCGTTCCTCCGCCTGCACCAGCTGAGTGAAGTGAGCGTGCACGGGAGGCTGTTGTAGTTCTTCGAAATTAAACAAGATTAACACTTAAAAACTATAATTTGCTCGACATTATAGCAAAGTTGTGTTCCGGTTTAACTTTTCCTTATTAAATGCGCCTTAATGGTCAAAACAGCTTCATTTCGCCTGGGCAGGGTGGCACCATCCATCGCAGCCGGAGCCATGAGCTCTCCAGAGTTCCTCCGAATGCACCAGCTGAGTGAAGCGAGCGTGCACGGGAGGACTCGTCGTTGCAGTTCTTCGAAATTTAAAGCGTCAGTCAAAAATTGTGTTATGAATATGGAAAAAAAAGTATATAAGTCGCAGGACTGATAAATCTATGCAAAAAAAAAAAACCTGTGACTTATACGCCAGAAAATACGGTACTCTTAAATCCTGCAAATCCATTTGTTTCATTGAGAATCTGAAGGAAGGGTCCTGATGAAACTTGAGATCTGGTGTTGGGGGAATTTCTCCACTTTCTTCTGAGAAGCAACACAATAAAAGGTGTAAGGGGAAAACTGAGCCTTTCTCCCACACACTCATCATTAAAGGGGAAAGAAGCAGCCCTCCATCTTTGTTTGCGAGCTCTAAAAGCCCTTAATGTAGCCTCATTACCTGGCCTGTCTCCCGCTCTATCATGTGCGGTAAACACACACTATGACACTGGCCATCCATCTGAAGGGAATGCACAGCTGTCTGCCTCGGGTCCACCGAGGAATTTAACACACGATACACTGTTAACACACTGCTGCCCTGACACTGGCTTCATCTCCGTGCCATCCATTTTCAGAGAAGCTTCTCCACCGTGTCCGTCTGAATCCATTTCCTCATTTTATATGCATGAGTTGCAAAAAACATTTTCATTAGGACGACACAAAAGAAAGTAGAAAAAGAAAAGTGACCCCAGTTCATCATCGGCTCACGTTTCAGGTGGCAGAGCCGGAATCCTTTACGTTTTCACAGATCAAACTAATAAATAAATAAAAAATAATAATAGAAATTACATTTCACAGTCTGCTGAGTCCTCGCGGCTCTCTGATCGGGTCGAGATATGGTTACCATTTAAAATAATCACCGATTCTGTGCTTGAGTGAAATTAATTCATCATTGCCATAAGTTACGATGCATATAAAATAAAGAAGTAACTGTGCAAGGTCGCAAATTTATACTTAAAATTGCTTTAATAAATCAAAATGCCACACGTGGGCTGACGAAAAAGAAGTGGCTCAACAACTATGAAATTGATCAAAAAGAATAAATAATTTAAAGCTGAGCTAAAAGTATAAAAACCTTTAGTAGAGGAAACGCAAATATTTGATTATGATTGTTTTTATATGGCTGGAATTTCAGCACAAGGA